CTTGCTATGTAGATCATGCTGGCCTTGAACTCACAGAGATCCCCCTGCCTCTGCCTCCCAAGTGCTGAGATTAAAGGTATGTGCCACCACGTCCAGCCCTATTTTATTATTTTTATGTGTATGTGTATTGCCTGCACGTGTATAAGTGTACCCATGTCGTGCAACTGGTTGTTAGCCTGCCATGTGGGTTCTGGAAATTGGAGCCAGGTCCTTTCCAAGAGCAGTCAGTGCTCTTAACTGCTGAGCCATCTCTCCTGCCCTGATTGGCTTTATTTTTAAGTATGTGTATGTGTAGGGGTGGTATGTACATGTAGTAAATGTAGGTACCCACTGAGTCCAGAAGAGGGCATCAGATTTCCTGAAGCTGGAGTTCCAGGCAATTGTGAGCCATCTGATGTGGGTGCAGGGAACCCAGTGCTCTTAACCACTGAGCCATCTCTCTGGGCCCAGGCTTTAAAACGTGACCCTATCACTCCCTGACTGTGCAACACCCTTGGACAAGTATATGTAACTTCTCTGAGCCTCTGTTCCTCATCTGTAGATCGAACGGATAGTCTTCTCCCAAAGTGCATATTGTCCCAGTGTACATGCAGAGCCTGTGCACAGGAAGCACTTGAGGTACAGCACATGCTTGGACATTTGTCTGCTACAGGGATGGTGAGTGTCACAGATTTATCATGGAAACCAGGCAGGTCTTTAACTTGGGATCATGGGATGAGGATGCAGCTTAGTTGCAGAGCCACTGCCTAGCATTTGTGAGGCCCTGGATTCCATCTGTAGCACAACAAAATAAAGACACAAAAGTAAAGCAATACAGGCCAGATGGGCATAGTGGTGCAAATGTTTAGTCCCAGCACTCAGGAGACAGAGGCAGGCGGATCTCTGTGATTCGCCTAAGGATCTACAGATCTACTTAGTGAGTTCCAGGTCAGCTGGGGTCACAGGGAGACCCTGTCTCAAAAAGACCAAATAAACAAACAAACCAATCAAAACTTAAATCTCCTGCACATAGGAGGTCATCCTGTGCTATACAGGGAGAGACCCTGTCTCCTAATCAGTCTACTAAGGGATCCTGTTGTCATTTGAGAGAGGGACTCACTACATAGCCCAGGCAGGCTTCAAACTCTTGCTGATCCTCCTGCCTTAACCTCCCAAATCCACCACCTCCCCTAGTGTTAATTTAGGATTATGGAATGTCAGGGCTGTAATGGGCTCTCTAGAGAGGAACACTAGATGTCTCAGGAGAAAACGAGTCCCTGAGGGCTGTACAAACTGCTGTTGGTCCCAGGGGGTATTAGGTAGCAGAACAGGAATCAGACTCCGAAGGGGTCCTCAGGTCCTGGGACTCTGCACTTTGTGGAAAATAACAGGGACTCCCACCCTCCACCCCACGGGACCATTCTTCCTTAATGTCAGTGCTGTTCACTGAAGACTGAACCTCAGAGTTTGTAAACCAGCAAACGTGGTTTAGAAAACCTGGTCCAGGTAAAGCCTTGCCCTTTAAACAGGTAGTGAATCTTGGAATTAATATCCCATTTGGCAGATGGTTTAGAAAACCTTGCCCTTTAAACAGGTAGTGAATCTTGGAATTAATATCCCATTTGGCAGAAAGACACCAAAGCCCTCAGGGGTAGGCTGGTTACCCAAGTCAGGGCTCCAAAATTTGTTAGCTACTGTGGAAAATGAAGACATTTGCTTTCAGAAGTGGATTGGGCCAGTGCAAAACAGCCAGCATCTTGTACTGTAGTCTTTGGAAAAGTACTTCAGCTCCAAAGACGTCAACTCCCAACTCCCAAGGAGGTCAGAGAGGAAAGGAGTTGCTATAGCAACATCTCTGGCAGCCTCTACGTCTTTCTCAGCTCCCAACAGATTCCAGCAGGTTCTATCTAGCCCAACAACTTGCACTGGACCAATCTCTTGTCAGATCTGGGTGGTGAGAGAGGCCACAGCCAATGAAGGGGCTTGGAGCCTGTGTCATGGTCCCTGAGTCAGGCTGGAATAACCAGATGTCAGGCACACGTGACTGTTTCCATGGTGATCTCCCTTAGCAACTCTAACTGGTCCTGTTTATGAGCTCTGGAAAATTCCACGCAGTTTCTGGCCTGTTTTTTTTTCTTCTTTACCTTCTCTGCAGCCTCCTGCTCCAAGAGGGAGATAAAGTCACTTCAAATGTTTAACCCTTTCTTGAGGTGTGCCTGACTCCAGGCATTCTGGGGATCTAGGAGGGATGTGGTTATAGTTCGTGGCATGGCTGCAACCAACCCATTGTGGTATCCAGCAACATACCCCACATTGCTTAGTGCTGGAAGGGGGTGGGCAGGTAGCCAGAGACAGTAGGACAGTCACCATTTACAGGACACATCCCTTGAGCCAGACTCTGCACTAAGCAGCTCAGCCTCATAGCTCATTCCCGTTTCAATGAGGAATAAACTGATTCAGACTGAGACTGTATGTGGGTCTCAGGGGACCCTGTTCATGTAGCCTCTGTGACACCCAGGATAGGTTGGACAAGTGTCAAAGTACAAACGAGGAAGATGGCTGACATCCATCCATGCTGAGTGGAAGGAAAAGGGCAGAAGCTCCCACAGGCTCCAGGACACCCAGGTCACCAGGCCTGGGCAGGGAGGGGGCAGCGAGTGCCCACCACTGAGCCACTAAGCCTGCAGAACTGGCTCTGTGGAATGCTGGCCGTAGACATTCCTGTCTGACTTCTGCTGGCCTGCACTGGGGGGACCCAGGGGGACCATCCCCTGGAACTTAGGGGGAGCTTTTCAGCGTCCCCAGTATGAGGTCAAAGCCATACAAGAGTGACTGTGTGGATGACACATGAATTTTGTGCAGACTACATCATCGAGTGGAGACTGGATAGGAGGAAGACAGGAAGCAAGCAGTGATTAAAAAAACAATGCAGACCTGTGCCCATAGCCTAAGATAAGTCACCATGGAAGGATGCTGCATGGGGTGAAGTCACTGGGTGGGGGTGACTACAGGGATTGCCTGTTCAGGGGGGAGTCTTCCTAGAAGAGGAACAGGGTCTAGGCCTGTTCCCTAACATGGGGCTTCCCACTGTCAGGGAGAACAGAATAGACATGGCCTTCGGGGAAAGTCTGGGGGACCTCCACTATAACTCTGGAGAAGGCGAGGTTGAGGGAGGGTTTGTCCTTGCTGCAGGATTGGGCAGTAGATGGAGTTGAGGAAGAGTAACCCTTTGTGACCTGGGCTGTCCAGACTGGGTCTGTTGACACTCAGGCCTCAGCTGAAGGCTAGGTCTATGGAAATAGAACAGTTATGGAAATTTCCACCCATGTTGTGTTTCTTTCTCAGTGCTCAGTTCTCAGCCCCACCTTCTCAGCCCTGCTGAGTCCAGAATTCTTTGGATCAATAGGTCTTTCTTAGGCTGTAGGCTGAAGGGGCCCAGGGAGTGGGGGAAGGGCAGCTGTCTCCTGTCCTCTGCCATCCCCACGGCAGTCGCTCATGGGTGGAAGGTCCAGGGTGTAGGGTGCTAGGCTGGAATAAACTAGCCCTAGAAACTCTGTGGGCATTCTTTTAGTTGGGAATATTTTGTTGATCTAGCTAGACACTTCTAATGGGGTGGGGGGCACTGGGAAGCCCAGCCGATCCAGCCACTGCTTAGAGCTTCAGCAGACAGCTCTGGACTGCAATGAATTCTAGCCTGGGCCATAACAGTTAGATCACCAGACTCAGTGGCTTGAGGTGGATCATCACCCTTTGTCCATGGAGAGATGGGGTCCCCCTGGGCACAGACCCACCTCTCTTGCTTGTTTGGGTCCACAATCAGGTTCCACAGTGACACGTCTTCCTCTCCTCAGTGAGGCTACAAACCAAGAGTCATCTTTGACCCTCGGGGGAGCAATGCAATAAACACACAATCATCCAGAAAATACAGGCTATGCTGAGACAGAGTCACCAAAAGTGGTGCTAAGGGACACCTGGAGGTGCTAGTCAAAGGTCCTCCCGGAGGAGTGACGCTGGGCAGGGGACAATGAATCTGCAGCTCAAAGCCATTCCAAGCAGCTGTATCTTGTGAAGATGAGTCTGGGAGGGGCCAGTATGGGAACACAGGTGACATCCACACCCTCTGTGCTTGCTCTGTCCCTTAGCCACTACCTTCCTTCCAGAGTCCATGTCTCTATGTCCTCTGGCCTGGGCCACCACACCTCAGACAACAGCCTCCACCCTCCCCATCCAGGTGCCTTAGTCCTTCACTCCAGGCCCTCCTCCCTGCTCCCCCTGCCTGGGTCGGTCTCTCTCTCTCTCTCTCTCTCTCTCTCTCTCTCTCTCTCTCTCTCTCTGATACACTCACACACACATAGCCAGACCAATTTATTCCTTCCTCTCCAGACAAGCCTTGCAAATTGCAAATTGTGGGGTGCTGGACCACTGCTCACTCATTCTGTCCTACCCGGGGCCCCCACTAAAGCCTGGCAAATTCTGCTTATCTTTTTACGATCATGGCCTTCATGAACATTTCTGGAATCTTCTAGCCAGAATATACAGCCCTTCTCTGGATGGGACTCTCTATTCATCTATGCTTCCCTTGTGGCTAGACCAGCGCAACAGAAACCTCTGGGGATAAACTTTGGAGTGTGTGCAGTTAGTTTGGGCTGCTCCTCCAAGGAGGTCAGGTCAGCTCTCTATCCTGAGTCCCCAAGACATAGTGTGGGATTATTATTGTTGTTATTATTATCATTTGAGACAGGGTCTCATGGAGCCCAGGCTGCCCTTGAACTCCTGATCTGCCTCTGCCTCCCAAGTGCTGGTTGGGATTATCTGTGTGCACTACTATGCTTGGCTCAGAATGTGACTTTTTCAGATGGAATGAGACTTTTTTTTATATGTTTGTGTGTGTGTGTGTGTGTGTGTGCGCACGCGCGCGCGCGTGTGCACACGTCAGGGGACAACTTGTGGAAATCCATCTCCTCCCACCATGTGGGATGTGGGGGAGGGGGAATTGGCCTGAGGTCATTGGGTCATTAGGTTCAGAGGCAAGCTCCCTTACCTGCTGAGCCATCTTGTGACCCAGGAATGTTTCTGAGTGGCTGATGCAAATCAGGAGAGTAAACTAGAATTACTGAATTTCAAGACTAGGAGAAAAAGATAACAGTTTTTCTTAGGCAATTTTGCTGCAATTCAGGAAAACCTCCAAACTCTGTGAAGCTGTGGCCTGGTTCCTGGGGGCTTCCCTGCAGGGATGGGAACCTGGAAGCTTCACAGACCCACTCTGCTCAACCCCCCCCCCCCAACTGGACTCCTCATCCAGGAGCTGCTCTGTCATGCTGCCCTTGTTTGTACCTGGCAGTGTCTTGGAGCATTCTAGCAAAGATCCTGGAGGACTCCAGCCCCTGACTTGCTTCTGCGGTACACAGCTGACTGCAATTGCATGGGGGGAAGCCATACTGTGTGTGTGTGGGTGTGTGTGCACGTGTGCAGTGTTTAATGAGCATCACACTGGACGTATTGAGTCAACACAAATATCCTCCAGAGACCTCAAGCAGATGATGGAACACATCAGGGACACAAGAATGTGGGTGTCGCCCACTTAGGCTATTCCAGAAGGTCCACTCAGCAGGCCACAGAGGGTGAGTAACTAGGTGAGGGCTGGACACATGCCTCTGAAGGTGAGTCATGCCCAGTTGAGGACAGCAGGCAGGGAGCTCCGGGGAATGACAGCTGACCTGGAACTGCAGTGGGTCCTGGTCCTGTCAGAGTTCTTCATGAAAAGAAACAGTTCTGGGCTGGAGAGATGGCTCAGTGGTTAAGAACACTGGCTGTTCTCGCAGAAGACACGAGTTCGAATCCCAGCACCCACATGCAGCTAACAACTGTCTGTAACTCTAGTTCCAGGGGATCTGACAGCCTCTTCTGTCTTCCACAGGCATTGCACAACACAGGTACACTTACCTACATGCAGGCAATACATGCATATACCTAAAATAAAAGCAATAAATAATAAAATATTAAAAAAGAGAAAGAGGGCCAGGCATGGTGGCGCACACCTGTACTTCCAGAACTTGGGAGGCAGAGGCAGGCAGATCTCTGTGAGTTCAAGGCCAGCCTGGTCTACATAGTTCCAGGACAGCTGGGGCCTCAGGGAGACCCTGCTCCAAAAAGACCAAAAAAAAAAAAAGAGAAAGAAACAGTTCTTAGCTAACCCATTGTCCTGTCAGAGCCCCTCCTACATGTGGCAACTAGGCACACTGCACTTCCTAAGTGTGCAGTCTTTTAACTTTTCTAGGTGTGTATGTATTGTATTTGTTGTTATTTATTATTATTATTATAGAGATGAGGTCTCACTAGTCCTCCAAGCTGGTCTCAAGGGATCCTTTTGCCTCAGCCTCTGGAGGGCTGGAACTAACTGCAGCTGTGTACCAATCAGCTCTGGTTCTGTGTTAAGTGTGTCGTGGATCTCAAAAGAACTACTGTTCCAGTTTTTTTGTTTGTTTTTATCTTTTTGAGACAGGGTCTCCCTGTAGCCCCAGCTGTCCTGGAACTCACTATGTAGACCAGGCTGGCCTTGAACTCACAGAGATCCGCCTGCCTCTGCCTCCCGAGTTTTGACAGCATTTTATGCATATATATTTAGTGCAACATAATTAAAAATAAAGTGAATCACAAAATATGAATAGACTTCCTTCACTAAGTCCAACAATTACATGTGAATATAATTTTTTAAGACACAGAAAAAAAGTTTATTTGTGTTTTTTTTTGGTTTTGTTTTTGTTTTTTTTTGGTATTTTTGAGACAGGGTCTCCCTGTAGCCCCAGCTGTCCTGGAACTCACTATGTAGACCAGGCTGGCCTTGAACTCACAGAGATCTGCCTGCCTCTGCCTCCCAAGTGCTGGGATTAAAAGCATGCGCCACCATGCCCAGGTTCTTTTTCTGTTTTTTAAAAATTTTTATGGGGCTTTTTGCTACTCTAACATTCTCCCCTCTGAAGAGGCAACCCTAAAATCTTTTAGGGATTAGATAAGAGCTCCCAAATACTTTTGACATTTTTGGCCTTTGGAACAGAGTATGTTGCTAAGAGGCCCAAGGACATTTTGACTTTTAACCAAGAAACTGGCTGTTTTTCTTTGGGGTCTTTTTATTTTTATTATTTTTTTTAAGAGAGTCTTACTATTTAGACCAGGCTGGCCTCAATCTCACAAAGATCTGCCTGTGTCTGCCTCCTGAGTGCTGGGATTAAGGTGTGGTTTTAGACAGGATCTCTAGCTCAGACTGGCCTTGAATTCCCAAGTAGCTTCTGATAACCTTCAATTGCCTCCTATCTTGACCCTTTTGCCTCCACATCCGTCTTCCTCACAAGGTTGCTGTGAGGGCTGAAAATGCCTCTGGAGAGCTCTGCCTTGCTTTTTGTTGTTGGTCACCCTCTCTTGTCCCTGGGTTCTACCACTGGCTTGTACAGCCAACCCTTCCAGAAAGATCTACAGACTGCAGAGCCTAGGGCCAAGGACTCTATACAGCCAATAAACTACTGAAGGGAACTGGAAGCTCGGCGCTCTTCAGAGTGTGCCTTTTTAACCCTCTGAGCCATCTTGTCAGCCCCCTTTCTGAAATCTTAAAGGAGGTAGATGGTTTATTGTTTTCACAGGAAAACAAGAGGAGGCTCTGTTGCCCTTACTTTTCTGACCTCGGTGATGTCAGTTCCTGTGACACAGCAGCCCAGGCCGCTGCTTCCCCAGATGATGTGGGAGAAGTGCTATGACATAGCCACTGTTGGTTCCTCAAACGTGTTTTGCTGGAACTTACCTGGGCTCTCTGTGGTACTGGGCATGTCTGGTGGATTCCCGTGGTTGATTTTTGTCTTTTTTCCTTCCTTTTTCATTTGAGACAGGGTCTCCCAGTGTAAACCAGCCTGGCCTTGATCTCACAGAGATCCACTAGCCCCTGCCTCCCAAGTGCTGGGATTAAAGGCATGCGCCACCTTGTCTGGCTTTTTCCATGTCTGATTTTACCCTTTCTCCAAGGTACATTTTTTTTAGCTGTCCAAAGTCTCCTAGGAAACAGCTCTCTCCCTCTTCTGTCTGACAGAGCTCTGAGGGCTGTGAGCTCAACTGTGTGGGTTTTTTCCTGCTGTGGGAGTAGCCCACATTGCTCTTGAGATCATTCCAGAACTCAGATGTGGGAAGGTGGGCAGCCAGGGTGGAGGGCTGGGAACTGTAAACTCAGTCTTTAGAAAGTAAGAAAGTTGTTTTCTTGGAGCTCTTCAGGTGTTATGGATCAAATTCACCTACAGGATAGACTCCTAGGAGGCTGGGAGGGATACAGGAAAACTCCCCGAACTGAACTAGCCTCTTGACCCCAGGGCAGAAATGAGAGATTCCTGCAGTCTTTCCCTTGACTCAGTGCTGAAGGAGTTAGGAATCTGCAAGGGGTGGGGTGGATGCTGGCTTTTGCCTGGAGGTGTCTGTCCTAGTGTTGAGGGGTTTAGGCAGAGCTTTGCAGACAGCAGGCCTTGAGTGCAGACTATTTGCTTTGTTGCTGCTTTTCAAGGTGACAACTCCTCCAAGCCACAGGCCCGGAGGCCTAAACATCTTCCAGGATCCTTCCCCACCCCTTTGTTTACTGTATTTTATAGAATCGGCATCACCCATCGATTTACTCATCTTCTTTTTTTAGTCCAGCGAGAAGTCACTGGATTCCTGCCCAAGGTCACACTGTGCTTGTTTGTGTGGTGTTGCCTGACACAAGAACTGAAGGCCTCTATTTCTGGCCTGGGCTCTTTTAAGGGGAGTGGGAGACGAAGGTCCAAAATGCACTTACCCATTCTTTTCTGCTGGTGTCCTTTGGGCCAGATGAAGACTAGGCTTGACAAGGAGGAGGAGGGCGGCAAAGCCTGAAGGTGTCAGCCTGTAATCCCTGCTTTTGGGAGGCTGAAGTGGAAGGATCCCAAGTTTCTAGGGCAGCCTGGGGCTCAGTGAGAATGAGTATCTAGGTTCCGGGTTCAATTCCAGTACTGAAGAAAATAATTCCAGAAGAGACCCACTAAACAAAGAGAAGGCAAGATTCAGAATCACTTTGGAAACTACCAGAATCTCTTTGGTATAGTAAAAAAGTGGGAAAAATGAAGACAGTAAATGTTTGTGTTCTAGTAGTAAGAAAAGTGGTCGCTGTCCTCAATGCTCTCTAGAAAAATTTTCCACTGACGATCGTGTATGTGTGTGTGGCGGGGGGGATTAAATTAGAATTTTCATTCTGGTCCTTTCCAAACCACTTTTAGTATTTCCTGAGAACTGAGCTCCTCTTTCTCTCTGAACGCAGAGTATTACTAAATACTGTATAACCATTCTAGCAACAGAAAAAAAAAATCTGTAAACTGTAAAGGAATAGAAGTGATTAAGGATAATGACAATTATTGAAAACACCTTTAGGGGCAAGGAGAGGGGTTCAGAGGTAGAGGGCTGGCCTAGCTTACCCTGAGGCTCTGGGCCCCACCCCCTGTCTTTTCTAAAAACACTTTAGAGGATTTGAATATTCATTTCCCAGCTCCACAGCAGGTGTAGGCCCTCCCCCAGCCCTAGAGACCCAGCAACTGCAGAGGCTCACAGAAGGCCTGTGGGAGGAATGGAGGCCGTGGGCAGAAAGTTCTAGATGCAGAACACCTTCTGTTCCCCAACTTTGCCTAGTTTTAGGCAAATCACCAATTCTCTAGACTCTCAAATCACTGCTTTTAAGTTGAGGTGACTCAACTTTTCCTCCTTTCAGAACTAAAATTCTACTTAAAAGATTCCAGCCCACGGGGGCTGGAGAGATGGCTCAGCAGTTAAGAACACTGGTTGTTCTTACAGAAGACCCAGGTTCAAATCCCAGCACCCACATGGCAGCTAACAACTGTCCGTGACTCCAGTTCCAGGGGATCCGACGGCCTCTTCTGACCTCCGTGGGCATTGCAGGACATGGGTGCACTTACCTACATGCAGACAATACATGCATACACATAAAATAAAAATAAATAAAAATAATAAATAATTTAAAAAAAAGTTCCAGCCCAGAGCACATATCAAGACTATATCTGGAGGGAACCATTTGTACTTAGTAATATTTCATTCTTTGAAGGCTTTTTTTTTTTTTTTTTTTTAAATGGAGAAAACCAGAACAGCTTTGTGAGGATCAGTAAGCTGCTTATACTGGGCCAGGCTTTTAGGGTGTGAGGTATGGATGGGGGGAAGGTTTAGGAGCCAGCACCTTGATTGGGTTGAGTTTCCATTGAAGCCTGGAGTAGGGGGAAGCTCATTCTTTCGGGGTTTTTTTGAAACAGGGTCTCCTTGTAGTCCCAGCAGGCCTGAAACTCACTATGTACACTAGGCTGGCCTCCATCTCACAGAGAGATGGACCTGCCAGTCTCCCTAGGCCCAGTTCCACTCCTTCAATGTTAATGAAGTATCAACATCTAATTCTATTTCCTAATTTAGTTACCATCTCAACCTTTACACTGTCATTAAGTTATATTATCTACACTCTTGAAGTCACTCCGCCAAGCCTGCCCATTTACAGGTTCCAGAAGAGATCTTGAGGCGTGTGTGTGTGCGTGCGTGTTGCGCCCGCGGAGGGCGTCACCACCAGGTTCTGGGTTCCCAGCTCTCTCTGTGCCCTGTAGAGCTCTGTAGAGCTTGTTTTGAGTTGCTGCTTCCCTTAGAAAATTTAAAGTATTCAAGGTATGTTCCTATAAACACACACAGGGGATTGTGATTATTTTTAATTAAGGGATGACTCAGAGACAAGATGTCAAGACGGCAGCCCCCGACCCCTCAAAGGAGGTCGAACCCCGAAACGTGGGGGTCGGGGCAATCGAGGTCAACCAGAGGCCTACTGCGCCTGGCCACGGGTCGCCATGCCAGCCACTCCCGAGAATGGCCCAGGCGCTGAGGGCGGGGCGCGCCTGCGCAGTGAGCCTCTGCGCCAACCGCCTGGCCTAGACCGGCTGGAACCGGTTAGAACCCGCCACTCCCGCCTGCCTCACAATGGGAGGCGGCGACTCACAAGCTGCAGATCCCTGCGCGCCGCAGAGCTCGGTCCGCGCCCCTCCCCCCGGCCTTTGTGCGGGTGGCGCGCTTCCGGTTCCCTCCCCTCTGCTCTTCCCGGCCGTCGACATTCTGGTTTCTAGACCTCCGCCATTTTAAACCACCGCAATGCAGTAAAAAGAAAAGTTGCGTTAAGCTGCAGGGCTTTGTTGCATTTAGCTGCAGTTGCCAAGACCCCGAGTCAGTGCACGGCGTGAAACCCGGACAGGTCGTTTGCCTTCGCTCACCTGGTGGCCGTTGTTAATAATGGAGGTGTTCCCAGGACGTTGCCATTTGGAGAATAAACCGGAAAAAGCCAGCCACTGGCAGGCAGTCAAGTCGCAGCTGTCAGCCGGAGAGAATCTCCATTTATATGAGATTCTCAAGCTTTTGTAAGCTGTATTTGAGCTTTAAATGTGGTTTTCGTCCTTGGGCCCTAATTCTTTTTTCTTTTGTCTTTGAGACAGGGTCTTCTTGTAGCCCCAGCTGTCCTCTAAAAAGCTCTTAAAGGACTGAGTAACCTATGTAGACCAGACTGGCCTCGAACTCACAAAGATCTGCCTCCCAAGTGCTGGGATTAAAGGCGTGCACCACCACGCCCGGCTTTTTTTTTTTCTTTTTGGTTTATTTGAGACACGGTCTCCCTGTAGCCCCAGCTGGCCTGGAACTCACAAAGATCGGCCTGCCTCTGGGATTTAAGGTATGCGCCACCACGCCCGGCTAGGACCCCAATTCTTAAATGTGTTTGCGTATTAGTGACATTCGAGTTGCATGCACTGGGGAGAGGAAGCCAGAAACTTTAAAGTCACCAGCTATTTTTGGCTCTGGCGAGGGACTACTTTTCTGACGTCATCAGGGCGCGGAGGACTACGACTTCCTGGGTGTGAGATGTCATCACCCCATAAAAGCGCAGTCCTCGCCTGGGGCTGCAGGCATTCAGGCAGCCAGCGCAGGGTTAGGTGCAGCTTGGACGGACGTGGAGATAAGTTACGCTTTTAAAAAGATTTAAAACTTAAAGACTCTAAATGCTAAGTAGCGAAGTTATTTCTTGAGATAATGCTTAACTTTAAAATTTTAGTTTCGAGAACTTAAAAAGTTTTAAAGAAACTAGTGAAGCCTTGCCTAGGGAGTTTGAGAAAGTAAATGCGAAAAATGTTAAAAGATGATGGCGGTAAAGGCGAAGCTTCTAGACGCAGTGAGTTTAAAAAGGGATTGTAAAAGGAAGGACTTAGTCCTCAGCCTGTAGGTTAGTATTAAAACAAAGATTAAACAAAGCTAAACGACGTTTAAAAGAGCAACGTTGTAGAAAAGCTAATTAGAATAATATTTGAGAGATAGTTTAAAAAGATTTGAAAAAAGGTTCAATTGAAGGTTTTAGAAGCCCTTCAGTTGACGGCGCACGCTGCGTCATTTGAAGCAGTTTGATAAGGCATTTGCCAGAAACTACTGAGAGCAAATGTTAGTTGAAGTGGTAGGTTGGACAGTTCGCAGAACGAAGATTAGAAATCGGAAGTGGAGACCGCGAAGACGGAAGTTCAGGAAGGAGAAGATGGGAGGAGAAGAAAGCCTTTAGAAGACAGGAGAGGGCATTTAAAAAGCAAAACAGTAGAAAGGCTTTAGAAGACAGGAAGCAGAAGAAAATAGGGAAGTAACCACTTAGAAGATAGAAGATCCAGAAGGAAGATAGACACGAGTTAGCGGAGCCTTTGGATGCCAGCACGCAAGATAGGCGAAGAGGAGAGGAAGGGTTAATGGAGTGAGATTCGGAGTCTGAAAAGTGAGGAGGAAGTTCTCTGTAAAGCCATCCACCTTATTTCCTGGTGCAGCAGTTTGGAAGGGCCTCGGGGCGTCTGATGGAGACGGCCTGTTTTGCAAGAGTTGAAGCTAAAAATCCTCTAAAAAGCTATTAAAGGACTGAGTAACCTAGAAGCCAGGCAGGATTCGTGTGTTTAGAAGATAGAGAGGCCTTGGCCTGTAGCTTAGCTTTTCTTGAAACCCGTGGAGGACTGAGCATAATTTAAGGATTTTCAACATGCTTTGGACTGAGCAGAGGTGGTTGTCAGAGCGGGAAGGACCAGGTCTACACAGAAGTGGATCCAGTGACCTAGGAAGCCAGGACCCCGGAGACTGGAGCTAGGAAGGAGCCCAGGAGCCAGTGCGGGTGTGACTAGGAAGAAGGATCCGGAAGGCTGTGTGAAGCTAGGAAGGAGCCAGTGCGCGTGGTGCTGATGGAGTGGTGGCTTGGTCATCTGCTCAGGAGGCCGTGTGCAGAGGATAGCTAGCGCCTTAGCCCAGCAGGAGTGTGCCAAGAGGGCCCCAGGGAGAGGAGTGGTGCTGGGGAGCCAAGTCGGCCACGGGTTGTCAGTCTAGTCTGGTAACTTGTTTGCTTTCTTCTTGGTGAGGGGGAGCTGTGCACTGTGGAAAGGGCTGATTGGGGTGTAGGCCGGTTCCGGGTGTCGTAGGTTTTTCTCTTTCAGGCTTGTGTTCTCATCTTGTCTGAAGCTCTTGGGCAAACTGCCAAGGCCCAGAAGAATGGTAGATGGCAAGTTATTTTTAAAACGGATTTGAGGGCAGTATGAATTTCAGAACCAACGAGGTCTTTAGTTTCCTGAGAAGGTGACCTAATACAGTCTTAACTCTAAATGCCTAGTTGGGGGTGAACTGGGGGCAGTTTTTATTGTGGGGTGGGCAAAATGTGTTTTGAGTTCTTTTCCCCTTAGGTCTGTCTAGAGTCCTAAAAAGGCAGATGACTCAAGGGAACCAGAAAGAAAATCCAATATCTGAATAATCAGCAGTCAACAGGTTTACAGTGTCTAGGAAGGAGCGTGCATAGCTCTCACTTTGAGTCTGGAGGAGCTGTTAACTTGGAAAACTGGCTGGTAGTTCTTTTTCCCATCCTTTATGAGACTTCTAAAGTTCATAATCCTTTAAACTTTTTACTTGAAATAATTGGGGATGGCTTAACAGGGAAGAGAGGGTGGGGGATATTCTCTTCTAAGATTTTCCACAGATGCTCTAGTGCTATTGGCAAACTGGGTTAGAGGAGCAGTAACGCCATGCTGTTGGCCGAGCACCTTCAGGGAGTGGAGCTGCCTTTCCCCAGAGGCTGAGCCCGGCACAGTGCAGCTTGGCTCCCACTCAGTCATCCCAGGAGAACTTCAGAAGAGCTTGGCTAGGCCAGATGTTGAAGTTAAGTTTTTCAAGTACCATGACTTCAAATACTTCATTAAAAGGGAGGGGTGCATTTTGACCATTAGTTGGCTCTGGCCTGTTGTGGTTGGGACTGGCGGGGGGGGTTAGGTAATTGTTTAGTTTATGTTTTCAGATAACTCATACCAGAGCACTTAATACTTAGGATGGAAAAACTAAAGAAATCTCAACTTCCAAGTTGGCAAGTAACTCCCAGTAACCTGTTTTTGATTCTTCCAATTTTGGAGTTGAACCTCCGAGGACACTGGGTTTATAACTAGTACATGGACCTGGGCAAGGAAAGTAAACCATTAAAAAAAATGATCTGTTCCCCTAAAAAGTGGGTAGAACTTGGGTGGTTTGGCTGCTGGAGTGCTAGGAAATGGCGAAGGTGCTGGGGTTTTGAAGCTGTGGATGTGGATGGTAGTGTGTGGTTCTCTTTTGAAATTTTTTTCAGGTGATTTAATGTATCTTAATAACTACTGTAGAAACTTCAGAGCAAAGGAAGTGGCTTAATGACCCGCAGGGACTGCTTCTGATGGTAGCTTTAATGTTCTCAAGTAAGATTCTATCTTCAGTTGCATATATCAGCAAGTTTTTTTCCAAGTGTAGGAAAAAATACTTTTCCTTTGTATCACTGTGTAAAGGTATGCTTAATTTTTGTACATCATATACTTTGTGTTTATTTGTAAGTTAAAATTTAAGAATTGTAGTTCAGCCTGAGTGGGTGGGCTTTCGTTCATGAGGGAGGGGAAACCTTTTTTTCTGTAGACTTTTTTCAGATAACATCTGAGTCATAACCAGCCTCGCAGAATGATGGCCTAGGAGGAGGGAGCAGCTCCTTGGTGAATGATAAGTAAAGGCAGAAAGCTATGTCCTAACTGCACTGGGGATGAGCCTGAGCCATGATTCTTACCACTGATGAAGTGTCTGCGTATGCAAAAAATTAAGCAAGTGAAAAGCTACCAATTTAAAGATTTGGAATCTGCCATTTTTAAAGTTAATAGCTTACCGAGCTATGTCCACAAAGATAATTGCTGAGAAATGGAGAAGATGCAATGTCCATCCCGACTGCTTTTTACAAAAGCAGCATAAAAAGTCAAACGAGACGAAAATGATCATACTGCGTTAATCCTGGAGAAAGGCTGAGATGCTTGAGTGGGATCGAGTGGTTGAGGAGGAGCAGTGCGCCACCTTTCCTTTCCTCAGACAGGTTTCTCCTGAGTCAAGCTGCTTCATTCCACCTGGGAGCAGAAACAGCAGGCAGCTATTACAGATAAGTTTGACTTGGTCTGCAGTGGTGCATGGTAGGGATGAGAGCTTATTGGTGAGGGTTGTGGAGATTCTGAATGTGGCACTTTACCTGACCCCTTCCTTGGGATTTCAGGATTGTGAGCAGTTTTGCCATGTATCCAGCCTTATAAGATAAATGCCAGGCCTTGTGCCCTTGGGTTTCCACAATGTGATGGTAGGGAACAGGCTTTTGCACCCTAAGTGCTTTCATAAATCCGCCTGTGTGAGAAGTGCCTTCCTTATCATTATTGCTTACAAATTTTTTTTAGCGTTTGAATCTCTTCATCCTATGAAAGGGTTGTAGCATTACTGAAAGTCAGGTATGTCTTGGTAAAATTTAAATGTGTTACAATGTATATTGTGCTTAAAAACCATTAAATCTTAGAAATTAATAAAATATTTCACTAGAGAATGTATGCTTTAGAAAGCTGTCTCCTTATTTAAATAAAATATTGCTGTTTGTAGTTAGTGTTGGGGCAATCTTGGGGGGATGTTCTTCTCTAATCTTTCAGAAACTTTGTCTTCGAACACTCTTAAATGGACAAGATCAGAAATTGAACAGAAGACCGAATTTAACTTTAAGGCAGGAAAGACAAATTTTATTCTTCATAAAATGATCATTTTAATAATCCCAGGCATGGCAATAGAGGCTCTAACTAAGGAATTAAGTACCTTAGACAGGTGGGGATGAGGATCAGAGTACAAGGTAACTACACTTTTGTTTGCAGAAAGTCAGGGGTCTGAGTTGATTGGCTAAAGACCTAGGGTAAGATCTCACATTCGGTGTGCATGTTCCGGTTCAAGTGCTTCCACACCTCATCAAGTGTTGGCCCTTTCACCTCACTTGGAGCTAAGCTTTGGGGCGGGCAGTGGGTTTTTAAAGAATTTTACTTTGCAGAGGCTTCATTTCGCCCTCATGAAGCTGCTCAGGATTTTGACTTGCATACAAGTGCTTGGCTCTGCCTTTTCTAGTGTGTGTGAGACCTGCAGTGAGTTTTCCTGGAGTTTGGAGGGAAGGGAGGAGGGGGATGGGCTTTACTTGTTTAGCTTTTTTTTTTTTACAGACTACAGAGAATGCAGTTGTCTTGACT